AGGACGCCAGTAATAGCAAAATAGTAACAGTAATAATGAAGGCTTGCCGAGCGTTTGCCTGTGCCTGACAGTGTGCTGGTGCTGACATCCTATCTCATTTAACCCTCCCGTGGACTCTGTCGGGGAAAGCATGCTAATAGTCCTTTTTGATAGTTTACTGAAGCTGGAGCACAGAGAGGTTAGGTCACTTGCAGAAGGGCACACAGCTAGCAAGTGGATTTGAACCCAGGCAGGCTGGCCCCAGAGCTCACATTTCTAGTCACTATGCTCCTCGGTAAAGGAAAAGCAAAGACTCCCCCCGACATCAGCCTCCAGCGGGGTTGAAGCCCCTCCTGTCTCTGTTGTTCCAGCCTCATCTTTTGTGCTGAGGGCTCTGAGAAGTCTCCCTGCTAGGGCCATTGTTGTGGCTGGTTCCAAGAGATCCCACCAGCTCTTTCTTACCTCAAATTCTTCCCTGGAGCCCTGGAGGAAGTGAAATGTCCGGAGCGACCAAAAGTCCTTGCTGTGGGGTATTGGAGACTACTGGCTCAGGGCCTCTCAGGCGGAACCCCTGCGGTGTGCCTCTGGACAAGGCACTTGGCCTGGCTGTCTCTCAGTTTCTCCTCTCTCAGGTGGGGGTGGTACAGCTTCCTACCTGGTGGTGGTGACTCCTTTGCAGGGTGGTCAGGCACTGGACATAGAGCAACTGCTCGGTAGATGATGCTTAACTTCAGGGAGAGGTTTTCCTCCCGTGGAGGGGAGGGGAGGAGGTTTGATTTCAGTTCCTGTAGTTTAAGGCAGAAGCCAAAGGTCACGTGGCCTCCATCCAGAGCGTGTGCACCTTGTCGCATTCCATCGTAAAGGGTTCAGCCCCTTCTTACACTTTCCAGCCGGTTCTACTGCTTCTCCAACTAGGAGGATCTGAATGTCTACCAGGGAGGGGAAGGCGCGGGACAGGAAAGGTGGGAGCCAAGAAACCTGGGCAGCTTCACCTCCAGTTTCCCGCCAGCCGGACCAGGCCAGGCCTTCTGACCTTTTCCCAGAGTGTCGGGTCACCTCTGCGGCGTTCCCGCAGCAGAAGGCACCCAGCGCTGGCTGGGCGTCGGGGAGCAGAGCAGCAGGGCGCCCGTCCGGCTCCTCCCGGGCTGCGGGGGGCGAGCCACCGACCACAGCTGCCAAACACGCGGCGGGCGACCGCCCGCAAAGCCATGCCCCGGAGCCGCCCCGCTCGCTTCACAGCCCCGCCGCCGGCCCGCCGGAGTCCAGCGGTTGGCTCCAAACCCACCCGCGCGCTCGCGCGCGCGGCCAACGCCGACCCGGCAAGTCCGACGCCCGCCAAGCCGCGGAGTTGAAACGCTCCCCGAGGACGAGCCGAGGCCGGGCCGCAGCCTCGAACTAGAGCACGCGCTCGGGCCTGCTGGGCTGGCTGGCCGGCCACCGCGAGCCCAGCGCCCGCCGGGCCGCCCGGCTCTGCCCCTCTCCCCCGACCGAGCCAAGCCTCGGGCCTCCCGCGGGGAGGACGCGCCGGTGGGCGGCGGGTCCCGGGAGGCCTAAGAGGGTCCCAGACCTCGGCGGCCTCCGGGCTTGCGGAAGGGAAGGCGGGGGCGGGAAGTGCAGGGTCCCGCGCCGTCTAGTGGCTGGGGCCGAGGGCTGGGCGGGCTCCCAGGAGCAGGTTGGAAGTCGCGAAGGCCAGTCGAGGCCGCCCGCCCGGGTCACCCGCAGGAGTGAGGAATAGGGAGGGAGAACCAGGGACTGAGGGTAAGCAGGTGTCCCCGGGCGGACGGGCCCCCGCGTTTCTGTAAACAAAGAAACAGGGCAGCTCTTGAGGTGGGGGTGGGCGGTTAAGAGAATCGCAAACAATTTCCTTCATAAAAATGCGATCTGAGAGCATTTGATTTCCACTTTCACTCCCCCCCCAACACACGCACAGTCTCCAAAGACACTCAAATTGCAGCCATATGGGGCTAAAGTAATAGGAAGCAGTTACCTTATTTACTGCAGAGGCGGCGCACGCGAACCTGGCGGCCGCGGACCGCCGGCGACGGGACTAAGCGCGGTGTGTTCTCGCTCTTCCAGACTCTGTTTACTCCTGGGAGGTTCACGTGGGAAAAGCCATTACCTAACTTTTAACGGGGACAGCGGTTGTATGGAGGAAGGAAGGGAAGTGTTTGGAGAATTGAGTGGTAGGGGATGGGGGGGCGGTTCATAAAAAAGTTGGGGAGTGAGAATCCTCCTTCCGATGGTTCCTAAGAAAGTGCCACCAGCTGCGGGTCCGAAGGGACCCGGTCCACACTCGGCGGAGTGACCCGAATGCTAGCACCCTCTCTGGGCACACAGGCATCCCCCACGCCCCCCTATCCAGAGCCCAGCTCTGGCCGGTCCATTTGCCCAGACCCCCGCCTCTTGCGTGTCTCCGAAGTGTGGAGGACCCAGGTCGCCCAGTGACCTGTTGTCACACCCGCTGAACCCTGCTCTCTGCCGGGCAGCTGGTGCCAGGGTGCCAGGCAGGGCGAGAGGACCTTCCCCGTCACTCCCCTTCCGCCCGGTCGTCTTTCTCTGGGGGACAGAGGGACGGAGCACGTCTGCAGCGACCTAGAGCTGGCTTAGGTCTGACTCCAGCTTATCCTGTTGCCCTCTCCTCTCCTTCTGAATCGAGTCCCACCTTTGCCCCGTGCTCTGCAGGGACCCCGACGTTTGCAAACGCAGACACCTGGAGAGCCCGAATTCTGTTCCCAGCGAGCGTTTCCTAAAGAACCGCGGTCAGACACAAAGATGGAGGGAGGTGAGAAATGGGTTGGAGGAGAGAAAATAATTACCAGATACCCCCTAGAGGAGGGGCTGGGGTTTCATTTCTTCACTTCAAGCTTAAGGGGTATTTAGAGAAAGAAGGAAAAATGAGGCCGAGAGAGGGAAACAGGAAGAAAGGAAGAAAGGATGGGAGAGAGAAGAAAAGGGAAGGAACACAAGGAGGGAGAACCAGAGCGAGATTTTTCAGCGTGAAACTAAAACCATCAACCTCTGCACGCCTGGTGCAAACCCCGGGGTCTGCAGAGGCACCCAGCCCAAGCCCAGCCAGGGATAGGGCTCCGGAAATCCTATCTGAAGCAAAACCACCACTCTCCGCGGGTGCAAGCGACTTTCCAGGGGTCAGGGAGGGCGGCAGGCCAGGTGGGTCGGGGCCCCAGCCCACTCCGGGTAGGCTCCCTCCTCCAGCCTCTGGAGTGGCCCTGGAGCGGCCAATGAGCGCGGGCGGCCGGCGCGGGGTTTGGGGCGGCCTCGCAGTCACAGCCCGCCGGGCGGGCAGCGGCTTTCAGGAGGGGGCGGGCGGGACGTGCAGAGCGACCCGGGCCCAGGGCGGAGGGTGGGCTTTCTCTGGGCGGGGAAACCAGACACTTATAGGCGGCTGAGGCCGACTTTATTTTTACTGCCCAAACTGTTGGAAAGTATTTAAGCTTAAACAGAAACAGCTGTATCGCTGGCACCGGCAGACGAAACTATTTGTTACCGGGAATGACTTTTTATGATTAAGGACGCGGCCGTCGGCGTCCTCTCGCGGGCGGCCGGCGCGGGTCGCAGGGCAGTGGGAGCGTCGTCGAGGGGCTGTTCGTTAGGACAGAACGGGCCGGAGAGATGAGACTGTCCACCCAGGCCCACCGTGTACAGTTTGGGACCAAAGCCAAAAACTGGAGCCCGTGTTTCCCGGGGCGAGGGGAGGACCGAGAGGGAAGGTGGGCCCGGCGCCACGTCTGGCCCGCGGGTCGAAGGCTTCGCCGCGCCCACCGCCCGCGCGCACCTCGCTTTGGACAGGAGGCCAGTCTTCGGGTCTGGGCGTCCTGCCTCTTCAAGGCAGACTCCTTGGCTGGCCGCTTCTGTCGCGCTCCGTCTATCGTTCTCTCTCCTCGCTGTCCTCCTCCCTTCCTCCCACCCGGGCCTGCCCAGGGGAAACCGCTTCCAGTCTAGTTGGTCATCGATGTTTTAACTAAATCCCGGGTTCCAGCGAGTGGGAGTAGAGATTTGGAGCTTGAGCGACAAAAGAAAAAGGTGGGAGGGAGCTGGGCCGGGACTGAGGTTGCTGTCCCCACCGCCGCCGGCCATGGGTCACCGAGAGCCGAGCAAGCGCGGGGGGCGGCGAGTGCCTGTCCCTGTGCGCGCGCCGAGGCACCGCGGCCCGCCCTCGTCCCCCTTCCAGGAGCCGGCCATCTCCGCGCGTGAGACCCTCTCGCCAAACCCGCAGCGGACCCCGCGACGACCCCTAGCTCCCCGCGCCACCGTTTCTTCTGGGGCGTCCGCCGCGCGCACTGGCAGAGCCGTGGACTGGAAGAGCGCGGGTCGGGCGCCGGGGTCCCGGGCAACGGACGCGCGCCCAGCCGAGCGCCCCAACGCCAGCCAAGCCCCGGCTCTGCGGGGACGGTCGCCCGCGCCCTTGGCACGCCCGGGCCCAGGGCAGCCAGGGCCGCGGCTGGGGACGCTCCGGGGCAGGGCCTGGCGGAGCCGGAGCGCGGGCGGGGGGCAGGGGCAGGTGGCCGCGGGCGTCGGGGTCAGGGAGAAGGCGCACGAAGGCGCCGCGGGGTCCCGCCGCGGGAGGGCTCGGGTGGGAAACGCCGGGCCTCCATCAGGTCCGCACGCGGCTAGCGCTGGGCGAGCGGTCCAGCCAGCCCGGCTCGCGGGGCCCGGAGGGTGGCCGAGGGCAGGGCCGCGCGACAGGAGACCGAGACACAGGCACATTGATTTGTTAGCGGACCCGGCCGGCGACGGCGGGGGAGGCCGTTGCCATAGAGACCGAGGGTCGGTGTGCGGTTCGGGGGGAGGGGGCCGGGCGCGGGAGCGGCCGCGGGCGCGTCTCCGGGGCTCGCGGCTCGGGCGCGGCTCGCGGCGGCCCGGCACCTGTGCATTGTGCATTGTGCGGCGCGGCGGCGGCGCGAGGAGGGGGCGCGAGCCCCGGCGGTGGGGGTGGGGCGGGCCGGGGTCTGCCGAGGGGGCGGAGCCTGGCTGACACCGCCGCGGGGGTCCCAGCGAGAGCTGAGGGGGACGCCGAACACCGGAGGGACAACTTGGCGGCGGGGGAGGGGGCCCGGCGAGGACAGAGGGCAGCCGGCCCCCCTGGCCTGCTCCGCAGACTGACAGCGGCCGGGCCCGCCCTCCCCGCGGCGTCACTTCCGGCGGCGGCCGCCACCCCCGCCCGCTCTGTCTCTGGAGTCGCCTCGGACTCCGCCCCCTGGCGATTGGAACGCGGGTCACGTAGCAACGCGGGGGAGACAGGGAGAGGGGCGTGGCCCGGAGCTCGGCCAATCAGCGCGTGGGGGCGCAGGCCTCCGGCCGCTCGGCTCTAGCAACGTCGTTAGCAACACGTGGGGCGGGAGGAAGCGCGGGCGGGGGGGCGCGCGGAGCGGCGCGGGGGGGCCGCGGGAGGGCGCGGGCGCGCGGGGAGGGGAGGAGAACTGACGTCAGCGGGAGAGTATTATGGTCTGTCGTGCGCTGGCTGCTGCTTTTCTGCTCCTGGAAGCGGCCGAGGGGGGAAGAGGCGAGTCAACATGGAGCTCTCGGCGGTGGGGGAGCGGGTGTTCGCGGCCGAAGCCCTCCTGAAGCGGCGCATTCGGAAAGTAGGTGCCCCGGGCCTCGGCCTCCGCGCGGCGGGCCCTCCCCTCCGCCGGTTTCCTCCCCTGCTGCAGCCCAGCTTCCCTTCCCCCAGGTCCCAGCAGCGGCCGCGGCCGTGGCGGCGGCGGCGGCGGCTCTGAGCCCCAGCGCTTCCCTTAGACTTGCAGCGATGCACAGATTGCACGGGTGGGGGGCGGGGTGGGGGATGGATGCCGGTGCATGCACTTTGTGCAGCCCTAGGTGCAGGGGTGGTGCAGCGGGCGCCTGCCTTTGGCGGTGGGGTTTTGAGCATTCATTTGGTGCATGCATTTTCGCATGTATTTCTTGTGTCCTCGTCATGCATTTCTCCCCATGCACACACACACACACACACACACGCACATACATACATTTTCCCCTTTGCATCCGCAGGGACGCATGGAATACCTCGTGAAATGGAAGGGCTGGTCGCAGAAGTAAGTCTGTTATATGCAGTTCTCAAGCCCAGACTGTTACTCGGGAGGTTTCTTTCTTCCTCTTTTCCCCTTTATATTGAAATACAATACAATGCAACGAGAAAAGTTACACACACCCCCTCCGCTGCCCCCCTGCTCCTGGGACTGATGCCCGCTTCTTCCTGGTTCCTTCAGGTACAGCACCTGGGAGCCGGAAGAGAACATCCTGGATGCCCGCTTGCTGGCAGCCTTTGAGGAAAGGTACAGACCCTTCCAAGCCCCAGCCACTCACCTAGAAACATGCAGGGTGGCTTCTGTCCAGCCTGGACTGGAGTCCCACTTGGTTTGTTTTTTTTTTTACTCATGCACCCTTTCTCCCTTCCTTCTGTCTCTAGGGAACGAGAGATGGAGCTCTACGGCCCCAAAAAGCGAGGACCCAAACCCAAAACGTTCCTCCTCAAGGTAGGATGGCAGTACCAATGGTGGACAGTAATATTTTGGGGTTACTTTCTGGGAAGGGGGCTCTGAGGGCTATGAGCCAATGCGGTGTCCACACATGTTGCCTCTTTGTAAATCTAGGAGGGAGTGTCCTAACAGGGTGACACTGAGTTAGTAGTGGCGGCACCAAGGGGTGTCTGGGGGGAGGGGCTTAGCCACACTAGAATTCCTTTAGCTTCCAGCCCAGCCATTCCAAATGGACGAGTGAGTGAATACAAGAAGTGTGCTTTCTGCAAACGATTGCTTCCAGGCAGACTTTATTCCTTCCCCCATACTCCACCTCTCAGCCCCACCCCCTCCCCACTCACTCAGAAATTCCCAGGCGTCAGACAGTGAAGCTGGGAGTTTAAGGTTAGAGGAGGGGTCCTGGGGGCGGGGCAGGGCCTGCTCTACTCTTCACACCACCTTCTCTCCCGCAGGCCCAGGCCAAGGCCAAGGCCAAGACTTACGAGTTCCGAAGTGACTCAGCCCGGGGCATTCGGATTCCCTACCCCGGCCGCTCACCCCAGGACCTGGCCTCTACTTCCCGGGCCCGAGAAGGCCTTCGGAACATGGGTCTGTCCCCACCAGGGAGTAGCAGCAGCACCAGCAGCACTTGCCGAGCAGAGCCCCCTCGGGACCGGGACCGGGAGAGGGAGCGGGAACGAGAGAGGGAACGTGAGAGGGAGCGAGAGCGGGCAGCCAGCCGGGTGGATGACAAGCCCAGCTCGCCAGGGGACAGCTCCAAGAAGCGAGGCCCCAAGCCCCGGAAGGAGCTCCTGGACCCTTCACAAAGGCCCTTAGGAGAACCCAGCGATGGCCTCGGAGACTACCTCAAGGGCAGGAAGCTGGACGACACCCCTTCAGGGGCAGGAAAGTTCCCAGCAGGCCACAGCGTGATCCAGCTGGCCCGAAGGCAGGACTCGGACCTGGTGCAGTGTGGTGTGACCAGCCCTAGCTCAGCGGAGACCACGGGCAAGCTGGCTGTGGACACCTTCCCAGCCAGGGTCATAAAGCACAGGCCTGCCTTCTTGGAGGCCAAAGGCCAGGGTGCCTTAGACCCTGGAGGCCCCCGGGTCCGGCATGGGTCAGGCGCCCCCGGCTCTGTGGGAGGCCTGTACCGGGACATGGGGGCCCAGGGGGGAAGGCCCTCCCTCATCGCCAGGATCCCAGTGGCCAGAATCCTGGGGGACCCTGAGGAAGAGTCCTGGAGCCCCTCCCTGACTAACCTGGAGAAGGTGGTGGTCACAGACGTGACCTCAAACTTTTTGACCGTCACCATTAAGGAGAGTAACACGGACCAAGGCTTTTTTAAAGAGAAAAGATGAATTGCTGAGTGGGTGAGCCCAGGACAAGAGAGCAGGGGAGAGAGTGAGCTCAAGCTTGGCATAATGCTTTTCGTTTCTGGTGGGATGTGGCCGCCTGGCTGGACCTGTCCCTAACTTCACACCCCCTCAGCCCCTTTCATTCCTCCTTCCCCTCAGTTTTGGTTGGAAAGATTATCTCTAGAGTTATATTTTCTATTAGATGTAAATATGTTATTTAAGAAAAATATCTAAATATATATATTTCAACTCTTGAAGTTGTTTTATTTAAATGAGGAGAGAGAGAGTGTGTTTTAGTTGGGGCAGGCCGGCTGAGCTGGGGCAGGAGGGCCCCATCCCCCCAGGGCACTAGGAAAGTTGGGGGCCTGGGCCCTGGGTTTCTGATGGTGTCTGGAGGGATGCAGCCTGCCCCCCTCGCCCCTCCTCCCTTCTCAGCAGCCCAGTGCCAGATTCCTGGCACCAAGTCAGGGCCCAGATTTTTTCTCTCTTCCCATTGGCCAGCCAGGCCAACAAAAGGTTGGCTCCCCAATCAGAAAAAAGGGGGTGGAGTCAGTCTGTTTTTCTTTTTTCTATTTTTTTTTTTTTTTAAGATTAAGAAGTCTATTAGAGGGGGAAAGTATTAACTTGGATAACCTTTTCGTGTGTGATGTTGAAGGTACGAAGCGGCTGGCTGGCTGGCGCGCGGGAGGGTGGGATCAGGTCCCCCCAGGACGACACCGGGAAATGCACTTTAGGGAGGGGAGTGCGTGTTCCGCACGCAGCTCGCGTGTGTCATGTGGATGAAATCTCCCCGTTCCCTCAATTCCTTTCCTTACTCCGCAGAAAGAAAAAGCCAGCGAATCTGTTTACATTCCCGAAATGCCAGGATAAATTGGGAGGATTGCGTGTCAGTGCCCAGAGTGCGAGACAGTTGTACAAGGAAAGTGTTGGGGTGGACTTTTCCCTTTCGCGTCCTCTAGCTTCGCCGGGAGAAGAGACGGCGGCCCCCACCTCCCAGGAAGAGCCGGACAAGTCTCCCCCCACGCGGCAGGGAGGGCGGGCCGCTGGCGCTCCGACGACGACGGACACGGCCGGCCCGGCCGCCCCGCGGGACCGCGGAGGGAGGCGGCGGCGGCGGCGCGGCTGGCAGCGGCGGCCTCGCACCCGGCCTCGCCGGCCGGCCTGGAGCGCGGCGGAGGACCCGGCTGGCGCTCGCGGCGCGGCAGGACTCGCATCCCCGGCGCCCGCTCGGCGGGGCGAGGGGAAGGAGGGCGAGGCAGGGTTTTCATCCAAGAATGCGCATAGGAACTTTTGCTTCTTCTTCCCCCCCCCCTTCTTAAGAGCAAAAACTATAATTTATAGGCCTTTTCGATTCCCAGTGTTCTCTATTTGAACTCCGCAAGCTCCGCCAAAGGGGAGGGAGGAGCGGGCGTTGGGAGTGGAGGCGGCCAGGGGGAGGCCGCGCGCGGCGGTGGGGCCGGGGCGCCCCCGCCCCGCAGGCCCTGGGCCGCGCTGCGCTCCGAGGGCGCAGAACGCGCGCCCCTCTTTTGACTCAAAAGCACAAATCGGTCCCCTCCACCCCACCCCCGTCCCTCCGAGCTCTGACCCAGCAGCCTCACCGCCCTCCCCGCCCTTAAAGGGCCAGCGAAGACCTAACTTTTCCCACTGCTCGCTCGGGGAGGGCCGTGGGGGCCCTGCGCGCCAAGCAAGCACAGACGCCGGACTCGGGCGAGCGAGGCAGGGGCCGGGTGGGGCAGCCTCGCCGCGGAGGGGACGGGAGGGAGCCCCAGCCTCGTCCCCGCGCTCCCGACTCCCCACCGCCAGCCTCTCAGACTTTCTTGCCTTTAAAGAGAGAGAAAAAGGGGAGATCGGTGTACTACGTGATTTTGTTTGTTTTTGAATATCAAATTGCGCCTATAAAAAAAGAAGCCCCTGGAATGGGGATTTTTATCTGCTCAAATTTGTAAAACTGGTATTTTAGACTTTGTATAAAGAAGCGCCGTTGACCCGAGTGTATCTATTTAAATGTTGACGCTATTTTCAGATGAAACTTCAATGAAGGGACACGTCAGTTGCCGAGTGGATGGTGACTCAGGGACACAAATCTTCACCTGGCTGCCGCCTTCCCCTCTGCTCCTGCCTTCGCTCCCAGCCCCCCCTTCCCAGGGCCGCCCTCGCCCCTTCCCTCCGACCTTCCTCCGGTCAGTCTGGTTCTGTCCCCAGCGCCCCTCCATCCTGCCATTTGTCCGTGGCCATGCGCGTGTGTCTCCCTCGCTAGCTCTCGTGGCGTTGACCTGGGGTGGGTGGGCAGGGGCCGGGGGCCTTGTGCTGGGAGTCTGCAACCGCGTGGTGTGCGCGCCTGTTGGATTTATTTAAGTCTAAGACTTGTACAAATCTCGAATCGATCTCAGCCTCTGCTCAAGAGTGAAGCTTCGGTACTATCCTCTGCGGTTGTGAATGTCTGTATCCAATACCGCTTTTTACGTGTTTAAATATATACTTTGTAAATAGAGACATGGCTCGGTTTTACTCTTTTTTGGTTTGTTCCCTGAGCTGAGGAAAGAGGTGCCCCAGGAGGACAGGATCGGTCGTTCCTCTCTCATTACACGCCCATCCCCGCACCCTTGGCCCCTCTGCGGGGCGATTCCCGCGAAGGAAGGCCGAAGGCTAGGGAGCCCACCTAGCTGGGAGAGAGCTGGGCTTGGGAGGGAGCGGGGTGTGACTATCCTCCGGCTTGGGCGCGGCTTTACTCACTTATAGACTGCACTTTTCCGGGACTTGGGCAGAATTCGCGGACCCCCGGGGGATGCGGGTGACATCGGGGTTCCCCTTTCCTCTGGCGAGGTTTCCCCTGCGCGCCCAACCCTCAGGCCGGACGTCACGGGTCTCCGAGGCTTGGGTGCCTCTCGGCCTCTCGCCCCGGCCTGCCCAAACTGCTCCCCCGTGCAGTCGAAGGACCCGCCCCCCCAGACCCACCCAAGCTCGCCAGCGCTCCCCGAAATGCACAGCCTCGCGCCTATTGATTGAGGAATTGGATTCGCGGGTATTGCTAGGCAACTGCCTGCTCAGAGCCGGCGCAGAGCGCGCTGATGTGATTAGTGAACCTGGAGCCGCCACGCTGCAGCCCGGCGCATCCCCGCCCCCCAGTCCCCCGGACTCTCGTCCCTGGCGGGCCTGAGCGCCAAGCTGGGCAACGGACAGTCTGGGGAGAGCAGGGCAAAGCGAAGGTGGGGATGGGAGAGGATGGGGGGCGTTCTCGGTCCTCCCTGACCACGGACTTCGCAGCAGTGGGGGCGTGGTCGTGAAGCCCGCGCAAGAAAGCCGTCCTCTGCATCCCGGAAGAGCCCATCGCATTGAACCCAATGCCGCTTCCAAGCCCCCCGCGGACACCGCCCTGCCCACAAGCAGTTAACTAGGCGCGTCTGTGGAGCACGCCTGGAGGGGCGCAGGCACGCGTTGTCCCCGCATCTCTGGTAGAGGGATAGATGGCCAGGCCCTTGGCAGAGCTCTCCCCACCTCTTCCCCAGCTCTGTGCCCTGTGTGGGAGTGCCCCGGCTCGGCTGGGGCAGCCAGTCGCAGAGCCCCGAGTGCCCTTCCGACGTGAGCCACCTGCGCCTCGCGCTGAGTAGGGTCGCTGGCCTCCAGGGATCCAAAGTCTGCTTCTGAGGCCGCCCTAAGGCGTGCCCTAAGCCGGGCTGGGCTGGCTGTGTGCTGGGCCAGCGGGCGCAGGACGTCAGGGGTCGAAGGTGGGAAGGGTGGCTCAGCGACGGGCGCGGTCCGACGCCAGCCCGCAGCCGAGCCCCTGCCGCCGGGCGGGGCACCGTCCCCTGTCCACTCTTGGGTGTTTGAGGCAACGGAACAGGCTCATGCTTCGGGAGGTGGGAGGGCGCCGACCCTGTCCCTTTTCCCGGTTTGCTGGCAGCCGCCAACCTGAGCTTTGAGCTTCTTCGGCGGGTTTCCGTTCTCTGGGCAGATTCTCCGGGAATCCGCCACACCTGCAGAGACTAGCTGTAAAGCCCTGGCCCGCCCGCCCTCGGCACCGCCTCTGGCCCGAGCCAGTTCCCCCGCGTCCCGAGGACAGGGCAGTCTCTTGCAGCAGTCGCCCGCGCGGAGCCTGGCCCAGCAACGTTGGTCGAACTGGAATACTTATGCTTTCCTTACAGGGTTGGATCTCAACCATTTTCCGTCCCTTTAGGGCTCAGGCTCTGGTTTCCTCTTCTCACCGAAAAGTCCTCCAGGCTCAGAGGTGCTTCGAGCCTGGCGGGAGTCCGAGATGGGGCGGCCCGGGGCCCCGCAGGGATCCTCCGTCCTTGGCGGCACGCGGCCCGCAGCCTCCGTACGAACGCCGCCAGAGAGGCTGCGCCTGGGCCGGGGCTTTCCCCCTGAGACCGCGGAGGCGGAGGGCGCGGGGCGCCGCAGTGGCGTGGGTGCGGGTCGCGCGACTGCATTCCGGAGCAGCCCGCGGGCGCGGGTGGCGAGTTCCCCTCCCGCACGTCCAGAGCGCCGGCCGCCCGGGCTTCGCGGGGCGCGCGCGCCCTCTGCAGGCGGCGGCCTCAGCCCCTGCCTCCGCGCCCACCCCGCCCACCGTGGAGGCGGGTGCCTCTCGGTTCCGCACCCGCGCAGAGAGAGCCCCGTCTGCCCCCGCCCGAAGGCACCGCTGGGCGCCCCCTTCCATGGGCGCCCCCTCTGCGTCCTCGCTGCGCCCGGTCCTCGAGCCACTAGGACGGAGGGGAGGACGGAGGTGTCCAGGCGCCCGGAGCCCAGTGCTCTGAGCCGCGCTGCACCGACCGCGCCAGGCGCCCTCGGGCCGGTCGCGGCAGCGCGGGGCGGGCCCTCGGGCCGGGTCGGCCCCTTGCAGCCCAGCCCATTCTCCTGGGAAGGCGCTGGATTAGGCGATCAGACCAGCAGCGCAGAAACTAACAAAGGCCGGCGTGGGCCAGGACCCGGCACCCGTCTGGCGAGTCCCTGTAGAAACGGGGTCTCACGACAGCCTGGCTGTCCATCCGGGCAGCGCCAGTGCCCGCGCCCCTTCCCGGCGGTCCCCAGCCGCCTTCTGCAGCTCTCAAAGGCGGGAGGACAGGACCGCTGGGGTCGCCCCTGCCCAACAAAACACCCAGGGCCTCCAGGAAGCCACAAGCACAGAAGCCCCAGCAGCAGCCTTCTCTGCAGGAATCCAACTCTCGCAGGCCTTTCTATTTGTAGTGGGAACTTGCTCCTCAACTACAGCATTCAGGCCCTCGCCCCAACTAGGCTGAGACCAGTGCCCCAACATG